GCATTAAAGGCACAATATGACTGTTTTGATTTTACAGCACAAATACAGTACATAACCTTGGGACTATTTCCATTCATTATGATTAAGCCATGTCATTCAACAGAGAGAAAACTGAGTTCTAACCCCCCTTCTCCTCCTCCCCACATTGTTCTTGTTGAAAGCAATGACATAAAACTGCAGATTTATAACCTAACAATTGTGGTCTACTTAAGAGAAGAGAATATTTATATTTTGAGGAAAAAAAAAAGAGCTTTTTGTTATAAAATATCAAAGTTTGTAGTCCACACAAAACAAACAAACAGACAATCCTATCATTATTGCAAGTGCAATTCTTGTCTGAGAAGAAACAGATGAACATAAGAATTTAGTAGCAATCATGATGGGCCATCATGACAATTGTTTGGTAGTGAAGAAACATGAAAAGTTTGTAGAAATATACTGAATGGAAAGAAAAAAATATTAAAAATAAATCAGTCTGTCTTTCAGTGAATTTGTTTTTACTTCTGGATGTATTTTCTGAGTGGATGTCACTCAAGGTGTTTGTGTATTACCTAATTATTAATTAACAATTTTTGCTGTTATATAACACATTTGTTATAAAGAAACATGGCAGTTTTATTTCTTTTTCATCCCATTGTTCTGGTCATTGCTGCCTGAGAAAAGAATAGACAAACTGAATATATTGTGTAGCATTGGTATTGTATCAAGGGGATAATGTTATAAAATATATCCACAAGTACAATGAAAAATTTGCTAGAAATTATAGTAAACCAAGGAAGGGTCTATAGAACAAGACTGCATGAAAAACAGGGCACAGACCTGACCAGAAGTTCAAGAACATGCCAGCACATGAATTATATGGCATGAGCCCAGCTAATAAATCTTTCCAGTTCTGTGTTTACTCCCACACTCCTATACTGATGGCTCTGGTGTCTAGAAACCTCCTGTACACTTCTTGTCCAAATATATTCATAGCCAATTTATGCCCATTTGTTCTCATGTCAAAATTATCGTTTAATTTCATGAGCTTTTGTTTCTCCCATGGGTTTACCTCATAATATATTTATAGATAGCAACTGTGTCCTCTCTCAACCTCTGGTTTACTGGGCCCAGCTTCTTTCCAGACAGTCAGCCTTTCCTCTGATCACCACATTATTCACTCTTTGCACCTGTTTTAAAAAATAAAACAAAAAAATATATATTTGTACTGCAGACACAGATAATCAGAATTCAAGGTGATGTCTAACAAGCATCTTGATCAATGGTGTGAATACTCCATTTGCTCCATTAAAAATATATTCCTCGACATATCTTTAAATTGCATTTTCCCTTTCTGTGGTCTAAGTGCACTGTTAGTTCATAGTAATTCTATGATTGACTGTTAGAACTAGGTGGTTTTCCTCTGTCATTTCCCACTGATGAGTCTACAGTTCATAGCAGATACTTTTCATTAGTCTCGAAGTGCATGACCTTGCAGAGCATGACCTTAAATTCCATCCCATTTCTATTACCCCAGACTTCAAGGTCATTTAATTCTTCCTGTATAATATTCCAATCCTCCTCTGTATTCGTGACATCTCCCAGTTTTGTATCATCAGCAAATTAATTAGTACACTCCTACTTCTTCTGCCTAGGTCATTAAGGAAAATATTAAATAAAATTAATCCCCAGACCAATCCTAAAGGAACTCCACTAGTAACTTTTCTCCAGAGAGAGAAAAAAATCCTTTCAACTTAACTCACTCTCATCTCCTTTTCAGACACTTCCTTACTTATATTGCAGTCCTGATACTTGTCCTTATCTTTTCTAATTTAACTAATAATTCCCCATGTAGTAATGTACCCAACACTTGACTAAAAAACAGACAGGTTGAAACTAACACATTTGCATTATCTCAAAAATCAAGATGTCATTAAAATAAAAGAGTAAGACAAGTTTATCTTCATGATTTTTTAAAAATAAATTCATGTTCCACTCAATCTCATTTTTCCCATTTTGAGTTTTTTTTTAAAATTATTCTTAAAGTCTTCATTTAATTTTTTGAGTCATGCCTAGATTATCCTTAATTTCTACTCTATCCTCAACGCACAGTGATTCTCTGTGCATTTCCCTCCCAATATGACTGAAAAAGCTTCTGCCATCAGTTTAATTTGGTTTGCTATGCCTAATTCTGCTTTGACTTTTTCCAGTTCTGTGAATCGTTAATCCTTATGAAGTACCAATGTGTACCTTTTTATTGCTGGCCTTCTTCCCCCTACCACTATTCCTTACTGAGCTTTTATTATTTCTTGTAAAATGTCTGAGGCAGTAATTTACCTGAGACATAAGATATACAGTCCCACACATTAGTCCTCCTGGCTGGAGGTACATCACCGTGTTGGTTTAGTAATTGCCTGATAAAGATGTTACTTGAGTGAGAAGTAACTGGGCTTCCTGTTAGTGACATTCATTTTCTTGTCTAGGCGAGGCAAAGTCTTTCACAAAAGGGAAACAGATATTAGGTTTTAACATATATTGTAGGGACTCCTCTGCCTACTTAATTGCATCGTCGGTGCTCCTTACCAGTTTTCCAATAGGGACTCCTCTGCCATCCTTGTGATACCAAATCATTCATTTTCACCCACACACTTGTTGCATATTGCTAGCCATTATACCCTTCCTTTCTCCTAGCTTTCACACAGTAACACTCCAAAGCCCGAGTGCCAAAAATGGCAAAGGGACTGTCAGCAGGCAAGGCTGCTGCAGTGGCAGTATTTTTGGTGCAGCAGTATGACCTGTTAGGGAGGGATGTCAAGCTTCAATGCTGTGGGGATTCAAACACTATCACAAGGATATCAGTTATGTCTTTGACTCATCTTGCCCTTGCTCAGGCTAGGCAAAACAAGGAAAAAATTATACGCTCTATATAAAAACACACAAAAGAAATATGAAAAAGATTTTTTTTTTCAAATAGAGCTATGCATATGTATAGAACATATTCTCCATTAGCAGAAGATATATTGAGATAATATGTATAATTAAGTTTATAATATAAAATAATATATAAAAAGTAATTGCATAAATACATAAATGCATGCACAATGTCTGCAAATTTAAAACATTTTTACTGAACCAATCAGAAACAGGAGCTATTACATCAACATCGAGTACTGCTGGTCATTAAAATCCATAAAGATTTTGGCTTTTTGAATTGTTTTTTTTCCTTTTCCTCTCTCTCCCCACAGTAGCATAATCCTTATCTTCTTAATTAATTTCTGCAATTTGAATACAGTATGCACTCATACATTGATAGTTTCCTTTATATAGCTGCTGTCCTGAATGGTTGTATAAGATTTCTTTCACTGATGAAAAGCCCTCATCTTCCAATGGTATCTCTAACTCACTGATGATTCTATGCTTGTATACAGTCAGAACTATCAGTTTAAGTCATACAACGTTATGTTCTGTTTCAAAATTAATATAGCCAAATATGAGCCAATGAAATTTTTTGAGGGGAGACTCCTGAAGGGCTCTTATCTTTCTCTAAGCACATGATCTTTTTAATATTATTCTTGGCTTTCATCTGTGTATATGTGGAAGAAAAGACCCTGCACACTTACTGCAGGTTCTTAAGTGCACTACAGATCAAGGGGAGGGATCAAGCACAGAAGCTGTCATGCTGGCTAAGCCAAATTTTCCATAGCTCTGTTTCTTGGCTCCAGCACTGGTGATTGGTAGAGGAAAGCAGAGACAGTGATGTGCAGAAAGATTTTTTTCTGCACTTCCTCCTCCCATGCTCTGGTTATTACTGACTTAGAAACTTAGTAAACTCCATGTTGCCTCCTGCTCATCTAAGTTGTACAGTTTCTTGGAGAACTGAAATCCACAAACGACAGCATTTTCTCCATTTTAAACCTAAAAGGCTCCTTTGGTTTGGGTGCTCTGCATCTTGCACTGTGAGTGACTGTTCCCAGTTCACATTCTGGTATTATTCATGTTTTTGTAGTTTTGTCCCGTCTCTCTTCTGACATGGAATTTGCAAGGTTAAGAGTCTTCAACTACCTAAACTCATCCTTTCTGTCGTCCTTGAAATCCTTTCCCGGTTTTCCTATATGTTCTTGGAGATGGAACGATCAATACCAGACACAGTGCCCTTAATGTTGCCGTTATACAGAAGGCTTATGCAGAAGCAGAGTCCTTTGGATTTCTTCCCCTCTTTCTCTTTGCTAATAATGCTTACCAATTTGCGATTTTGACCAGTACTGATGTTTTCAGAGAATCATTTGTATAGACTCCAAGACCTCTCACCAAAACATTTTGGAAGACATTTTTTTCATAGGGTTGAAGTTATTTTTCTCTGTACCGGGATACATTACTGAGCATTAAAGATGAGGTTCAGTTTTCAGTTTCAGGCACTTAAAGTTGCATCAGAGTAGACATAATGCCTTACCTCTGCTAGTCTCACATGGATATATCAAATTCTTGTATGGATATGCCAGAGAGTCCCTAAAATGACTCTAGATACCTATCTGCAAGTAACAGAAACATATCCTGAATGTCCTATATCATCACTTTGTCACCAAAATCCTATCCAATCCTTAACAGCCTCCCATAGATCTATTAATATTGAATACTTTTATACCATCTGCAAACAGTGACACCATCTGAATCATCCTCCACCCTTTATAAAATGTATTTATGAATACACAGACTGTATTCTCTATGATTCCATTAGCAACCTCTTCTTTGTGAAAATAGTTACTTTTTTCCTACCCCTGTCTCCTACTTTTATTAAGGCATTAACACAACTCATTTTCTTTTATTTACTTATTAAGAACTTAATCACTTAAAGACCTTTTTTTGAGTGAGGGATACTTTATATGGCTTTATGGAAATGCAGATGTAGTACCTTGATCACACAATCTTAACTTATGTTGTTCTTTAAGCTCCTAGAAAATTGTATTTATTCTTAACAAAACTGCATTAATACTCACTTACTTGGTACCAAAGACAAACTTCTGCAATTTCACATTTGAGGTCCACCTGGAGATGTATCATCTGCTCCTCACAATTAGATCCTGTTGATTTTCTCCTCTTTGTTTCGAAATCTCTTCCATGGACTTTTCAGTTGAAAATAGCTTCTTATATTCACATCTTGCAAGACTGAACCTGGAAGAAAAGGATATCCTGATATTGTTAATACTAAATACTAATCTAAGACTTTAACTTTTCCACTGTGAATTTACGCTACTTCAATGCTCCATTTATATTTTCAGCATTGAACGCCAGAAATTCCATTCAGGACATTCAGCAAACTCTGTTGCACCACTTGTACAGATACTGAAGATGAAGAAAAACATCAACTGGGTTTAACACGCCTGCCCAATACAACATGCAGGTCACAATCCTCCAGATTGGTATTTCTTCTGTACAAACCACTCCCAGCACACACCTAGTGTTCGTACTGAAATGTAATTCAAGAAAAATGAAATCAAACCAGATATGTGGATAACAAAGAAACATTTTTTATTGATGGAGAAACCTACTCAGTCTTAATATAAGACAGAAGTAGATAATAATATTCAGTATGTCACCAACTTCATTGTCTTTGATCTAACCCTCTTGTAAAAGATCTTTTTTCCTCCCTCATGTAGTGCTATCATTTTTACACACATTCAGTGCCAGTCATCCACTGTCTGTATCACAAATTAAAAAAAAGTAAGTACACATTTCTGCTCTTCAGAAGGATGTAAAATGCCTATTAATTATATATCAGCCATATGTTTTCAACTGTAGACATAGAGTTAAAAAGGAGTTTTGTGATAGACGTATCATTTACCGAACTGAATGGGTATTTAAATCCCAGTTGTCTGAAGAAGGGGGAATTGAGTGTCTAGTGTCTGTCTGTAATATCTCATTGAAATGAACAATACTGTGCACTTACAGAAGAAGAAAGAAAATTGCTTGGACAGGTAATATGAATTCCAGACATATTAGAGATTGCTTTGCTTTGCCATTTCTGAAGTGTCAAATTTTTAAATCAGTGTTATTCACTTCTAATTAATAATACCAATATTCTAAACCCAATTTTTCCTATAATTGCTTTTTCATGTGCCTTTTCCATATGTTAATACCCTAAGTCAGTATGCAGGCTTGAGAGGCCTACAACCTCATGTTTATAGTTCAGCAGCACTTATAGCTCAGCAAGGACCTTAAGCTGTGCTTTTCAAGTTTTATTAAAAACTAGTTCCTGTTCCATACTGATTTTCCTGCTGTGCATATGAGAACGCCAAAAGCATTTTGGGGGATATTAACAAATTTCAACAGCACAAAACCAATCCTACATTTTGGAGATAATTAGACCTTCTGAAATAATTTTGAACAGGCAGTTTCCTTTGTGATCTGTGAGTAATTCACTTTTATGGATACATATCCCTTCTTAGAGCTGGCTAGGGCAATTTACACATTACAAGGCTTGTAGACATAGTTGGCCACTTATCCAATGCTAATAAATTGAAAACATGCGTTTACGAATTAACAGAGAAAGGAAGATGTGAATGAAACGCAGGTAATTGCTGAATTACAGTTCTGCTTGTGGCAGCTAAAGAATACATGAATAGAGCTATCTGGAAGACACAAGATACCTTGCATCAACTTTCAAAATGTTGATTTTTCTTCTGTTTGAAAACGACCATATGATTATTTTTAAGAGAATGCTTAGAGTCAAAATGTCTATTTCCAGGCAAAATGATTCTATATGTTCAAGCTTGAGCTTGTATGTCGGATGGGGATGCCAGACTATATTCTTCTCTTTTTCTGTAACCATACTGAAAATTGAAGAAATACACGAGCCAAACTGTAAAAATGGCAGATTTTGTTGCAAAATATTTCACTTTCAAGAAAGACTGCTTCTTTGTTCTAAATGTTTCTGCAAAATATTTCTACAAGTCTCTTCATCTTGCTGGTCACTGGCTAAATTCCAGTGCCTAACTTCACAGAAAGTTACTTCTAGATTTGATACTCTATTTTTGGGAGTGAACCTCTGCAGGTTCACAAAGAGCTTCAGTTTTGAAGAGCTCTCTGCTTCAAAAGAAGAAACCTTCTCTTTTTTTTTACCAGGGTCTCATTCCGGTCTCTGCCAGCATCAGGTGTTTTGCCAAGTTTGTTATAAAATCTATGGGAAAAAATAAGCCTGAGAGCTATTAACAGAGGTGGAAGTTTGGGAGAGAAAAGGGAACACAGTTGAAGACTGCAGAAGTGCTGTAATGTAGCACATAGGTGATGCAGCAAAGAGCTTTCTCATCTTCTGTGTGCAGTTTTTCTTTGCTCTGGCAAAATCTTTTTTTTTTTTTTTTTTTCCTTGTACTACTTGATACTGAATTCCTCCCATCCCTTTCAGTTTTTAAATGGACTCGTATGAAAAAATCTAACCCTAGAATTACAACTCTCAAGCAAAAAATAGAGACATAAACTGAACAGTGAGGGGCAAATGTCGTAATTACAGCAGTAAAATCCTGAAAATACTATAACACTGAAAGCAGCTTGAAATTGTGCCACAGCAACCAGCACAGAAATGGAGTCAGCAAATACAAGCATTGTAGTTCTTGTTTAAACAAGCAATGTTAACCATAGTAAAGAGAAACAGATAAAAGTAAAATACCCAAAGTGCACAGGCATTCTTCTCCCTCAGTGTTCACAGATAAGAATTTTTTTAAGTACCAGTAACTGTTTCATTCTGCCTTTAATTATGGAAATCAGAAGGAACATCCCTAAGGTGAGTCATGTCAAGACGCATGAAAGAGGTGTAAAGAGTGGGAGGCCTAACTTAGCAGTTACATATTTCTGTTCAAAGAGAAATTTGAAAGTGTTTGTCAGACATTTGTTGTTCGCCATCTAAAACAATTACCATTACGAACCACTGAACTAAATTTTTGAGCTCTTCATATTCATTTTTGAGGCATTAATGACTGATATGCTGTACAATTACTTTGTACTGAGCAGACAAAGTATTTCAAACACAGTTCAACATTTCCTGCCTTCCTTCTTAATTCAGACATTCTGGGAATGGTGTCATTCTTATTCCACCTTCTATTATTTCTGTTCTACATCTCCACTGGCTTCAGATCTTCCTGCCGCCCATCTAACATGGTCTTTGAATATCCCTCAACAACTCACACCAGCCACTGGCTTCAGAATCAGCCCTCAGCAGCCCAGCACTACCTTGGAAAGTGGATGTCATTATTATCATTGATCACCAATGGAGCAGGGGATCTGTGTTAGCTGAAAAGGCATCTAACTCTTCAGTATTACCTCAGTTCACGGTGGTTCTTTTTCTGTCTCCTGATACTTTATTACAGCAGAATCATTTTAATTGGCACATGCTGGTGGAAACAAAACTGCATCTGTTGAGGGCCAGATTCTAGCACTCCTGCTCAGGTGGTACAAGTCCCTTGTTCTGGACTGTGTCCATTGAAACCAAGGGATCTGCCCAATTGTTAAAGGTTCATAGGAACACATTGTTCTGATAGGTATTCACTTTTATTCCATAATACGCTTTAAAAATACACACTGTACAAACCATTAAAAAAACTTCTATTAAAGTAAGTTTTGCCATAATAGAGCAGGGAAGCAGCAGGAAGTGAACAAAGGCTACCCAGCAAGACACTTATGCTAGAAAACACCAATTCACACCTGTTAACTACTGTGAATAAAATCTTTGGAATCAGTTCCTCAAAAAAGTCAAAGAAAGAAAGAAAAACTGTTCACCATGAAAGAAAACGGGAACCTCAGGTGTGCTGCTGAAAGCTGACGGAGTCAGATCAGCATTTATAATCAGTCACTTCTGAGACTACCTGAAGGAACGGAAGGAGGGGACTTGGCAGGTACACAAAGTACACACAAGCACTGAAGAATTGATCCTCATAATTTTGGAGTGAAATAGATGGTAACACCACCAGGTCCCGGCAGAGATACAATGTTCTAAACTAAAAGTTCAGCTAGAGCTTTGGTCCTGGGAGATAATGATAAAGCTGTCTGACCTAACTGACCCAAACTAATGAAATGAGTATAGCTGAACTGAGGAGAAAAGAAAAATATACAGGGAGATTCAAAACAGGGTTCCTGATCTGTGACTGCTGTTCAGATTCCTGAGAAAACAGACACATCACTGTCAAAGGCTTTTTCATTAATAGATGTATGCAACCAAGCAGAGTATAGAAACAAAAATGGACAAATTCTGATCCCCTTTATGTATGTCCACAAATCTGGACATACTGCAGTAAAAACTGAAGTGATTGTAGCCAGGCTATCTATTTAAGCTCCTACAGGCATTAACCAGGCATTTAATCATAATTTTTAATTTATCAGTCTAATGTCCAATTACACATCCTTACCTTTGTGAGGATCACACATTTGGGCAACATTTCATCAATCTGACTCATCAGTGGAAGTCTATCCCCTCTATTAATATTCCATTATTTGGAATAGAATGCTCTTGAAGAGAGATCTAAGATTACTGAAGAACTTGTGGATTTGTATCTTACATATGTTAAAGATGTTTCTTATTAGCCCTGGGTCCAAAGTAAGCTTGAAGTAGGAAAATTCAACTGTGAGAAGCATGGCTTGGTGAGTTTTCTAGTGTTATGAGGCTGCCTTCTCAATCAGCTGCAGAACTGCTGAGAAATGCTGATAGGGCTTGCAGATCCACAGCTCAGCAATTCTTGGCATCACAAGCAGCCTAACGGGCCTGTTCACAGATGACACAGCATAAGTCCTGACACTGTATCTCACTCTCCTTTATTTACACATCATCTTAAACAAGGAATGCTTTAGTGAGCAAGACCAAGGTACAGTAGTTAATGTGCAAATTCAGTTCAGCAGAACTCCAGCTAAAGCATGTTAGCCTCAAGGGCTTTTCTCTCAAACAGTGCTCCTAAGTTCTCCACAGAAGGAAACTTGCTGAACTACATCTTTCTGAACTTTAAAGAAAGTCCTGGTTCTAAGCTGAATGATGGGGTAAATGAATGAGTAACTTCACTGAAAGCAGGTAGAGAATCCATACAACGCAGTCATTACAAGAAAATGTTCCTACCTTTTATTTTAAACTCTTTTGTTGTAAGAACATTATCCATCTCAGGCGCTTTATTCTCAGCAGCAATCCTTAGAGTGGCCTTTGAGGATTCTCTTAAATAACATCTAGTATGGACACATAAAGGAAACGGACCAGAACAATCAAATCCAACGTTTACTTTTTAGACTTAATTCTAGCCTCTCTCTTATTCCCAGACCACTCCTCGCAGTCTCCTTTACCCTCATCCCAAGCCAGTTTTATTCCTTCTTTTTCTCCCTGGATGATTCCCTCACAGCAGGCAGAGAGGTACCACTTTCAGGCAACTCCTGCTGTGCATCAGTTGCTCCCATGTAGACTATTCCTTGAGGCCCCTTTGCATGGCTCAGCCTACCCAGATGTAAAAAATATTTATTCCTGTCATAGTTGCTTTAGCCTTAATAATTACCACGTTTCTGTGTCATCTAGTAGTTGGTCACTGTGAAAGCTCATTTTGTTGGAAGGTGACATGTTGCCAATCCTGAATCATTTCAGATTCAGTCCTGAATTCTGAATGGGATCTTGTGTGTTAAGATTTATTCTTTCCATGGGAACTAATCAATCTTTCCAAATTGCCTCATCTAATACATCACAAGGTGCCTTATTTTGTATGGGAAAAAAATATATATATCCAAAAGAATTAGTGTTTGGTTGTTAAACATCTCCTGACTTTCTTATTCCTTCTTTGAAACTATAAGCATCTCTAGGAAGTCACGCTCTGGTTACATTCTGGTATAGCAAAGCCTTAATGGACTGGCTTATACAATGTCACACATTTGAATTTGGACTAGATGTTCAAACTGGAAACTCAAGAGACCTTTCCGCTCTGGCAAATAAATAAGTAAAAAGAAAAAAGAAAAAGGAAGAAGCCCAGGCCTTTTAAAAGCTCGTCCCTACACACTTCTGCAAACAACTTGATAGAACTGCAGGTGAGGAAAGCAATGAAGTTCAGTGAATGTCTTATCAGATATGAGGGTGTTTTGTAGTTTCTCACATATTCTAGATCCTCCCTACAGACCCATTTCATTTCATTTACTTTAAGCCAGCATCATTTTTCATCTCTGCTACATTCAGCTCCTCATCTTTTTTGGCTGTGCAACTCACATACTTTTCTTCTTTTGCTTAAGAAGGAATAAACTTATTTTTTTAATAGAATCTTGGAAGAAAATCTGGGACAGTGATGAAATAGGAGAGGGTTGGAAGCAGATACTGCCTGAATCTGCAGAAGGACTATGCAGTCACACATTCTTGACTTGATTGTGCAGCAGAAGAATGTATACCAGGATTGGCAGCGGAAAGTGGGTCAGTTCTTTCAGGCTCTACATAGGAATAATGCCTAGGATGGGGTTCCTAACAAACAGGCCCATCATCAATGCAAAACACATCCTTGTTGTTTCTGCAAGACACAACTGCACTGTTGCCTTTGACCTTGATGCAATCAGTAGTTTGCCTTTGAAGTGGGAATTATCAACACCGTTTTATTTCCTACATCAAAATAGCTCTTAATTCCATGGAGATATTTCTCCCACCCCAGCCCGCTTAAATGTCACTAGCTTAATTACGTCTCTAGTTAGCAATACTGTTAGCTGCTTGTACAGGTTGCATCATAAACTATTTGTAGGTAGACTAGTCTTTCTTTGGCATTCATAGTCATTCTTTCACAGGTGCTAACAAGTCCTTTCTTTTTTTTTTTTACTGAAATTTAAAAAATACAGATGCTTAAAGCTGCTCCAAAAGTAGCGCCTCTTATTTTAATACGTTGGCCCACAGTGTCAGAGGTGGATATTGGCAGCATGGCAATAAAGACTGAACCTTCCCACCAATATCCATGTGGGAAATATGGCACCCACTGATATTCATCAACACTTGCTGAACATTTATGGAGACCAAACAGTGGATATGAGTGCAGTGAGGTGGTGGTAGTTGTGTGAGTGGCAACTGGGACAAGTCACATTCCAGATGACCATGAAGAATTTTACAAGCACAGCATGCAGGCTCAGTTTCATTGCTTGCAGAAGTGCACAGTTTATGGTGCTGACTGTGTTGAAAAATAGTGTTTTGTAGCTGAGAATTTACTCTATCAAACAGTGTTATTGTACCCTTTGTATCTGTTATAGTTCCCATGGAAATAAAAAGGAGGCATTTCTTTTGGAGCTACTAAATGTACTGGGATAACTAAGCCAATGAAAGTAAAAAGTGAACTTTAAGAACTCTTTAAAAAAAATAATTCATTTCCTGATGAAATATTTGAGAAAACCACTAAAATATCCTTTCTGTACTGAAAGATTCAAAAGGCAAATAGAACAATAGTAAACTTTAACAGTAGATAATAATAATGAATATCCTGCACAGTCATCAATATTAATGATATCTTGTAATACTAATTTTAAGAAGCACACAAAAATTAACATTACATATTTATTAGCATATTACCTCAAATGATTTATAATCACAGAAGTCACTATTTAATTTTTTTTTTCTTTCACTGGGCAAAAGCATAAAATGACAAAGTGCTACTCTTGTTTACTTACTCTTCTTGCGTGGTTGTATAATCTTTTTGTTCTGCCACCACCAGGTAGATCTTCTTTCTTTCTGCCCTCAAGACTCTTTTTCCCAGTTTCCTGTGATTGTCTGAGGGAAGAAAATAGGAAAGACATCAATACCACCAGTTCAAATTTTGAAAATAGCTTACACTTGCAAATTCTGCCCCCGCCCCCCTCCACTCTCCCTCCATTAAAAATACAGAGCTTTGGAAATATTTTTGGTAAGGTTTCAAAGATAAAACATGACAGGATCAAGGACTAAGGGATAAATCACTGTTAGTGTTATTTTTTTTTTTTTTACCAGGACTGGAAGCAGAGTTGGCAAACTGATTTCAATTAGTCAGGGCTGGCTATATACTGGGGAGTCTACGCTTACATATCCATTTTTTTTTTTTTACACCAGTGCTTCTTTTGGATTCTTAGATAAAGGAGTATAAAGTGGGCATTCTCCACTTGATGCAATTTCACTATACAGTGATTCCCATCAATGTATAATTAAAAGTGGATTTCCTTTCCCCTGTTTGGCTGAGGTGGGGGAGGGTTCGTATAAACCTGGTTGATGTGAAGTGAACAAAGAGAACTTTCATGAGTTCTCCTACAAACAGTCTATCAGTTACAATTCCTAGTGTTCACACTGCTGCACTGTTCAAAAGGAGCTCTAAAAAAAAAAAAAAGTCAAGCAGGGGGTCCAAGAAAAATTCAACCCGCATGCCAACTAAGGGAAAGAAAGAGAAGGCAGGAAAAAAAACCTAGCTTTTGTTGTAAAAAGAACTAATGAAGCTGCTCTTAGAACTGTCCATGGTGACACAACAAGCCTGTGCACCCACACACATTGTGAGAATGCCAGTCACCCACGGTAATGAGAAAAGGAAATACTGTGGGCAAAGGAAATATATGAATACACTGCTTTTATGGTTTAACTGTGGGGAATCACAACGCTGGCCCACAATATCTTGTGCCAACTGCCAAAAGTGGTAAAGTAATACATAAGGTTGTCTACTTATATTTTTCTTACCGACAAGATGGACTGGTGGGGGGTAAAATCCCATTATCATTATAAATTGCTAATTAAATAATTATCAATTAGATGGGCAGACAGAACTCATTCCAATGAATTCCTTGGAGGGCTTTCAGTAAAGAAAAACAGTAATTTTGATTATTTTTTTTATCCATACTTCCTGCCTAGGGGCTCTAAATAGAGATGATGTATGGTGTATCCCATGTTAGACTTTCACACAGTATATCCCATGTTAGAGCTCAGGGACAAACACCGAACTTTGGAGCATATATAGATCTTCTTTCAGTTTTCCAGATAAATGGCCTTAATTTCATGACATTAATTAGAAACCCAGGGTTATTTCCTAAGGAATAAAAATAATATTTTCCAGACTTCTATGTGGCTTTGAGAAATCACTTTTTTTTTTTTTTCCTAAGCAACTGATAATATTTTCTAATGTCATTTCATTTGTTTTTCCTTGCTTTTTATAATCTAGAAATTTCTTTGAAATAAAATATCAAAATATTTAATACGGATAAATATACAGATGTTAAGCATGGTTTAACTTCATACAAGGAATATTCTTAATGAAATTTATTCTATTCATCAACATCAAAACCAGTGCAAAATTCAACCTTATGCCCACAGGTTTTAGCTGCCAAGTTTTCAGATCATACCCTTGGGAAAAAATACTGTTGTCACAGTATAGAGCAACAGAAATGATCCTGTCCTGTGCCCCTTACTCATGTGAGTAATTTTCCCTGAGGTTGGGGGTCCTGCTAGATTTAATAAAACTTACTCAGCTATAATTACTCACATGCACACAGATCAGTTATACACACACTTTTCTTGTCCCAAATAAGTTTTCCAAGACAATTAAAAACTGGAATGATGTGCAACTCTTAATAAAAACAAACAAACAAAAAAAACACCCCCCCCCCCCAAAAAAAAAAAAAAAAAAAAAAAAAAAAAAAAAAAGCTTCAGTTGGCTGTAACAAGGAATATTCTCTAAGAACAGAAGTTCTGCAGACTGAAGAATCACACTAATGTTTGGGACATCGTTTTCATTGCTGGCAAACACCAACAAAAAAAGTAAGGAACGGAAATGGTAACATGAAAGATGGACTTTTAATTCCAAAGCCATGAACATTTAAATATGAATGGGGCTTGCTGCAATCCTCTATCTTTTGTCAGGAAATATGAAGCTCTGGAACTCCTTTTGTTGACTTCTTTGTTAACTGTATGAGGATGAAAGAAGTCAGAGGTCTTTTTTCATTTTCAAGACCCATCACATTGAGGCTCTCAAAAATAAATGCTGATAAATTCATGAAAATGCTGAAAGGTTGATAAAAGGAGAAAACTTTGTTTTCCAGACTGTGACATCTGTCACTGGATGAAATACCAGGGATAATCATCATTAAAAACAAACAGCACTTTTAGATTTCTCAAGTTTAGAAAGGGAAAATTAGTTATAGTAAGATGCAAAATACAATTGGCATTATAAATATCTTTTCCCTCAATTTTGACATTTTTCTCTGTTAGTTTCTGGGAGATCACAGAATCCTAAGGGAAGCTCCTCAAGGTGACGTCCTCTAATGTGATTTACTTTGAGGAATACTTAATGGAGAAAGGTGCCTACTACATTTTGTTATTGAGTTTTGTTCATGGTTCAGGATTGATCCACTTGAGTCTTTCAGCAGGGAGTAGTTTTCCAGTGTGGCACAGCATGACTCCAAATCAATAAGGTTAATAGATGTGGTGGCCACACAGTCAGAGGTGATGTGCCTGGCATTTTCTGTGCCAATGAAGAAAATTTCTGATGACGAGATGTCATTTTTGTGCCGGCAGTAATGTCACCCTGATTACCTAGAGCACAGAGCCAGTTAGTAAGTTAGCAAGACTGTAAATGGCCCATTAATCTGAATTATGTTTACAGCAACTGTTTGAAAAAATTTTGCTTGCATCCAGATTACCAGCCACCCTATTATTCATGAAATGCCATCAGCACACTTGCTGTATAAAAATGGTATTGCTGTGGAAAAGGGACTAAATGGAATGGCTGGTCTGGAAGTCCAATGTATATTTTTAAACTCTTAAAACGTATTATAAAACCTGCAAGATGCCAGTCATCAAACAAACAAACAAACTTACAAGTAACTTTAGAAATTAAATAGATTATATAAGACAAAGGAAAAAAAATATGATTCTATGATTCTATTGAAAAAAATGTTATAATGATGTAACAGCCAAATCTACTGATATAAAAATGTCACGTGTTGGTCTTTCTGCAGTTCTGATTTTCTCCAACTTTTTAAAATATGCAAACTCTTAACAGTGCCTTCTAGAGCACTAATGGGTACATGTTCCCAGATGGCTTGTGCTGTGAAACAGGATTGAATTGAAAAGAGAAAGTTGTCTAATATTCCAATATCTAAATGTCAGGAAGATGTAATTTAGAGTGCCACTAAAAGATGTACTGAATGGACTACAGTTTATGATGACTTTAGTTAACAAATGGCATTGAGGGAAGAATTTCCATAATTGAATCATTAAGTAAGATGAAATATTGATTTGCTCCCTGATATTAGTGCATCATCACTTGTCAGACTTGTACACACCCAAAGAACACTCAGTGCTGTGTCTAGCAGCAGCAATAATGATTTTTATTATGATAATACTGTCAAGAACTATAAAGCAGAGAAAACAGCAAGGTATGGGCATACCACACCATCCCTGCACCAGAGATTTCACAGTTAAATTTTTGAAGAAAAATTATAGGACGAATGCATGGAACAGACTGGGTAAAATGATGGTTTGCATTATAAGGCTCATTCCTTATTCACTTCCTTCCTCTACTGATACTTCTTGATAACTGGTATGGAGTGAGCCAGCTTTACAGTGCTAAATAGTTCTTTTATCTGAAGAACCGAATTACATTGCAATTTATATCAGTAATTCAAATAACTGCAAAAGTTAGGACTTTTTTGGCTGTTTTTACTGTTGTCTAGTTGAAGTTGAATGTACACCATGGAAGGAGAACAGCATATTCAATGGCTATTTCTATTCTATATATGCTCATTAAATGCGTCAAATATTTGAGCAAATTAAGTTGAAATTGAAAGGAAGGACTGAAAGAGGCAAGATAAAAAAGAAAAAAGAGATCCTCCTTAATTGAGTTTTAACCAGGTAGCACTGATAATTAATCCTTCCTTTTGGCAGCATGATGAAGATGATGATGATACAACGTGTAGAATTTGGATCTTAAATTAAGAATAAAAGTTGCTTAAATATTTGATGATAACTATTTTTTTGGTGAAAGGTTTTGTAGACTACAATATCATATATTACTCACAAAGTGATCACAGAGCTTAAAAATATCTCGAACACGTAAGGTTTACTCTTTTTGGTACACCTGTCAAGATCTGTGTTTCGAGAATCTGTCCACTCAGTGCCAAAATGGAGAGGCGTTGTATTTTAGGAAAACGTTTAAAGTAGTGTTATTTTCTACCTCAATCTTTCAGCAGGAAAGCACTTCTTTTGCCGTTAAACATTCAAAAATCATGTCTCATTTGAATAAATTAACATACTTTGTGGCAAAAATTAATTCCAAGGAAGTAACAATAAATAGGAAAGCAATTTAAATTGTGTATTTTACAGGGAAGGAAAAAAAAAAAAAGAAAACCCAGCATTATCATGCATATGACAGCTCAGCTAATTTGATGGGCTTTGATGTTAATTTAGGGTTTACTTTAATTTCAAAACATATTTTTTCACTTAATAAGGGAAACAAAAGAAACTTTCAACCAGTTTGTTATCTGGGAATGTTTTGGCTTCTCAAATGTGAGAACATGATTGTTTTTATTTCCAGGAGGAGATAATAACACTGAAGCAATAAAAAAGAGTCAAGGCAGCTTGCACAGCACAGGAAGTTCACAGCCAGAGACTTAATTTCCCACACAATGTACTGTGCAATGGGCCCATTAACATAGATGAATAGGCTCTTTAAAGGGTTTTTTTTCCAGATATGCAGCTGCCGCTGAATGGTGCTATGTTAATAAGGTACTCACATGCCTATTCTTCAGGTACTCTGGCATTCTCTACCTAGGTAATCTCCATATAGGAAAGGCTATTAGGGGTTGTATCTCCTACCACACCTTCAATTATTTTAACACCTGCACTGATAATCCAGGCAAGGTAAACTGGTAGGGGGCCGGGGGTCGAAGTCCATCCTCTTCCCCCCCAAAGTCACATCTCAGAGGGAGGGGCTTGAGGAAGAAGGGGGGAGGAAAAAGTAAAGTCACTTTTATTACACATCAGTGGGAACATTCTGAAAAAGCTTTCATGCCTAGGAAATTGTTATTTCTTCAAACAACTGACAGCCTGCAGAGGAAACTCTAATGGAAATCCAGCTCATGCATTGTTATGCATGGCCCTCATGTAGATACATGGGGGTGGATTAAGTTAGCTTCCAAAGGGTCTATTGTGTGCAGCATTAATTTGCAGTGCTCTTGATATTTGAGTTTGAAGGTTTTACAACCTTTGTGTTTACTTAGATGCACTATATCCTAGGTTTGTTTATTTCCTTCCACAATCTCTTATTACCCTGTAAATGTTACATTTATCTTTATTAACTTTCAGTATGTTGCTGTAAGTCACAAAGAAGGAAATAATTACAGCCTCCTTGAAATGTATTCGTTTTAAGGGCTTTTTTTCCCTTCCTGGTCAGTTCTGAGTTATCCGTCTGTAAAAACATTGGCCTTCTTTGTAAAGCAAGCAGTACAGAAGTGTAAAAATGGTGCCATTTATTATTATATAATTATTAAATCAAAGATATATCCTTGTATTTCTCATGTCATAAACATACAGATAAGTTAATGGATCAATATAACCTTCATTGTGAGTCTGCCACTAGTGCAACTATCTCTATTACCCAGATATAAGAAAAAATACCTATATCAACTCATCAAGAGCACAATCTTCCCACTATATCCTCAGAATCATTTACAAAGTTATTTATTGTCACATATGGCTCTTCATCTCCCAATATTAAGAAAGAAAATAAAAATAAGACTTGTCCTATGCTAACTTAACCTGTGTTAGTTTTCCTGTATAGATCCATATAAGCCGTAGACAGGCATTTTTGTAAATTCAACTTTCCAGTGAGATTTAAATTTAAAGATCCTAATGGTTTTTTATTTGAACTTGTCAGAGATGTCTAGAAGTGTTAGTTTTTCAACAATGAACTAAGAACTCAAAGTAACTAGTACATTCAAAAGAAGCTATGATCCTAATCTGAACTAAAGGGCTCAACTGAATAAAAATACCTTATGCTCGAGTAACTCAAGTTATGTGTGACTCCTTTCTTCCCCTCCCCCTTTATATGGAAGTCAGTCAGTTAGTTGCTGTATTTTAATAACGCAAAAGAGCTTTCTGTAAAAAGAGTAAGACTTACACTAATTATGGTCTGAACCATATCAGGCACATAGTTTTTTCAAAAAACCCTCCAAAACTAGCAATGGGGGGTTCTGAATTCAGGTCTTGATTCTACATAATAAATTAAGAGGAAAGAAATTACTCATAAGGACCACAACAGCAGAACAGCTGCCTGGAAGTCCCACTTGCTTCTTAGGCTGATGGCCTCTGTTTGAAACCAGCCTCTGAGTGAGAAGTGCAGACTGAACGACAGGAGCCACTGACCTCAGCTGCTGAAGTGAAGATCTTAATCCAGCGTTTAGAGCTCGGGGTCTTTCCCAGTGTCCTAGGAAATGATAACAGCGGGAACAGAAAGAACTGCATTTCAGAAAGCTGTTTGAAGTACCGTGGTACTACTGGCATTGTATAAAACAATAGCACAGCTTCTTCTGGAACACGTTAAAAGTATGTGAAACCCTGGCTGGTTTAGGGAATACAGATCTAGTGCTTCTGTTCTCCTTGTTTTGTAACACAAGGACAAGCAGTGATAACAAAGAGATGCAAATTCAAAACCAATCAAAGGAAAGCCTTTTTTTTTCTTCCTCATTTTGGATAATTAGGCTGTTGGTACGCACTATCATAATATTTCACTAAAGTCAGATTAAATCCAACAGATTACAAAGAGAAATCAGGTATTTGTATAGTACAAGAATCTCCAACATTACTATAGTTAACTTGAATTACTGCCAAAGAAGAAGGGGCCTGCATTTAGAATGTAAATCCTCACCTGGTATCACAAGGTTCTGTCTTCAGCAGAATCCTCAGACCCTGGTGGCTGCCTGAGATACAGTGCAGTGGTATCTGAACCACCACTGGTACAGTATGACAGTTATACTTTGCTACATTCCTACAACATCCCTCACCTTCAATCCTCATTGATTCACTTCTTTTTTTTTTTTTTTTTTTTTTTTTTTTTTTTTTTTTTTTTTAAATCAAAGCTGCAAAAAATACAACAAAACAAGAGGATTTTTGGTTTGGTTTTAAATTCCAAGGTTGTTTTTTGCTGTTGTTGTTGTTTCTTTTTTTCCTTCCAAAAATAACAAGAAGTGAATATTACAAAGCCTGACTTGCTATCGTAAAAGCAGGCAAAGCTCTTCCAGTCATAGCATCCACAGAAAACTTCTATACTGAAGACCTCCCACAAGTTATCAAAGACCATATTACGGAGATTTAAAACACTCTTCTCTCTTCATTAAAAGGAAGAACAGGTGTGACCACTGCAATCAGCAGAGATTGCAGGCTTTTCTGTCTTTCTTTTGCAACTGTGAAAACATTTTTGATCCTTGTTCTCTTTTCTAGAATGGCAGAAATTATTCTGTAGATCTCCTGACAATAATGCCTTCACAGGCACATGAGACTGCCTCCTATCTGTATATTTTTGGAACACTAACATTTAATGTGTTTATGTATTTCTCTATCAAAGCTGCTATTTATTTAATGCAGGAACTTATTGCATGTTAATTCTGTGCAGTTTTTTTACAACTTTCCCATATTCCAAAAGAGGAGCCATATACAAAGAGTACATTATGCAAGTGAACTAGACTTCTGTATTTTCTATCTGTGACTTTTTAAAGCAATCATTCCAAGACACACATGATCTGAAATGCAGTGATAAATGTTCAGCGTATTAAAGAAGTCTGATTTGTCCTTGGTTTCATAGTGTGCACAGTACTTACATTGCCTAGGTCTCCCTCAACTCTTCGCCAGCCCAGGAAGGGCAATCTATTCCAGCACTCACAGTGGCTCATGCCTATCTGTTCCCTGCACTCAGCGTCATGGGAAGGTGTAGCTCAGACCACACTAATCCCCCCACCAAAATCTTCCTAGAAGGTGGTCATGGAGGTGTCTGTGCCTCCACTTTCCCACCTCTCTGGACCCTAATCAAGAATGGGCAAATGAGAAGCAATCATATTTTGTGCATTCTTTAAAGATAAGAAATAGTCTATCTCATAATCTCCTCCTTTTGACTCAATATTAAATGCTTAATAAATACCTGGAATTAACCACGACAGGGATGAGATGAAACTCAACAGTTTCCCTTCAGGCAAAAAGCCGGCTACAAAATCTTCAAAGTTGGTTACCCTTCCAAGGTCTCTGAGTGCGAACAGTTGATGGGTATCCAGGAAAACAGAAGTGGTTGTGGGAACTGCATGTTGGAAGAGAACGAAGATAAATTAGTGTTGACGATCTGCATCGCTGAGATAGTAAAGGACACATTTTAAATCTAAGGAATGGTCATTTGGAGGTTTGTGACCTCTGCCTATAAATAAAATTACAGGCGCTCTCTTGAAAACAGGAACCATTGGAAAGGAGTTGGCCAAGAGGAAGAAAAGATTTAATAAGAGAAGCGTTATGAGGAAAAAGTAAACAGAGAGGGAAGCAGAGAAAATAAGGTATCAAAATAAAGAAAACAGACAATAGAAAATATTTGCACAAAGTAGAATACAAGTTTTAGAAACAGTGTGCATAGGTGACACTGAGAACATGAGGTGAAGAAAGAGGATGCCTATCTCATTTGGAGAATGATATTACTCTATTAAGAGAGAGGAAAACCTATTTTCTTTACACTGATGTGAAACACAAAAAAGCAAGTAATCCTCTGCCTCTGATTACCCCCTTCTGTGTGGATATTGCTCAGGTGCATAAGCACCCTGTTAACCAGGATATACTTGTCAGGCTGACCTGTTCAGCACAAGCCTCTTCTGGATGTATCATGTCACTGTCTCACCAACCTTCAAGACAGAACTGTTCAGAATTTCACCAAAACAGAAAAAGGGGAGAATAACAGTGACAACAGCCAGGCAACAGGAGGACCCCACTGAGGATGTTAGGATGCTGTGTCTGCTGCTTGCTGGGAGTCTGGATATTGCAACTCAAACATGGAAGGGACAAGTTCTTTTTCTTGTGCTATAGTGGTCACTTTGCTCTGAAGACCTGAGCAGCTCTTAGCTGCAGATTCCAGAAGGATGTGGCTCAGAAACAACCAGGCCCGTTGCTGAGCACCGTGATTTTTTTACAGCTTGTTCAAACCATCACAGAAGCAGGGGCAAAGCTTGCAGGGAGCAGGGGTAATTACTTTTACATTAAATATCTGGAAAAGATGTGGGCTATGGGCAGGAAGAAGGGACACCGGGGGAAGGAGGAGATGCAGGAAATGACAGAAGAAAAAGCCACTGAAAATAAATCCAGTGACTCATGGAAAGGTATGACATTGCAGCAAGACTAGAGACAAGACTAAGGGAGGAGGACCACACATCTACATCTTGCACATTTTGTTCTAATATGCTCTTTTGCCTTTATTTTTTTTTTTTTTTCCTGTTGCTTTTTTCATGCTGTCTGCAAAGTTTTGCAAAAGACTCCCACTGCCAAAGCCAACAAACACAACTGGGTACTGAGATGGTGCTTCTTATCTGTGGACCTTTTTTTTCTATTTTGTTCTTCTGAGATGGGCTGCTAAGGAAACAAGGTTCCCATGTAATTTCAGCAATGACAAGTGAATCAGTTCTTTTGCTTAAAAAAAAAAAAAAAAAAAAAAAAAACAACTCATTTTCATATTTCCATATTTAATTTTAGCACTTGCATGTACGTTTCTGTTATCTTTCAGCCACATGTTGCTATTTGTCTCTGTAGTGGAGGATTTCTTTTTTTCCTTTTTTTTTTTTTTTTATTTTTTTTTTTTTAATGTGGGCTATGTGAAGCCTGACTTGCATTTAAAAGATCCACAGGGGAAAAAAAACCAACAACCCTGTAGTCCTCACTGAGATACAGAGAGCTGGCATGCTGCATGCTTTGTGGGAGCACTCCATGCTACCATCTCAGATAGCAGGACACGTATGCCCAGCATCTTGCACTTACACACCAACAGCAGTGCTCAGTGCAGTGTCTTAGAGAAAATCAACAGACATGGGTGAGGAGGGGCTTGAAAAAAATGAACTACTGGTTGTTCCAAAAATTAGTCAGATTTGGCTAACAAAACACTGTTTTAACACTTGTCCAGCCACTATGCAACTTCCACAGAGGACAAACAGATGAAACATGGGTAGAAGGAGCATTCGGAGATTTATGAGACCATTTCAGATTATCTGATTGCAGTTAGACTTTTGTCTATGTTACTCACCCTTCAGCTATCCAACTTGCAATGAGAATCAAGCTCCTAAGGTATTTGGGTGCTTTTGAAAAGGTTACGTGCAGTCATAAGCAGGCAGTCAAGACTCAATGTTCAGTCAGCTTTAGTGAGGCAGCTCATTGCTGTGATACATCTTAACTCGGCTGCTGTTACTGGCAGACAAGGTTTCAGACAGACTCTGGTTATGATTTAATCTTGGTCTGCATGCTCAAACTCCTTCTGCAGCCAACACAGGGACTGTCTTGAACACAAGAGAGAGCAACTGCAATCAGTTTTCTGTTTGAACAACATTTGGGTTGTCATTTCATCAGTGGAGCACAGCCACTCACGTTCTGCTCTGATTTGCTCCCAGACTGTAAACACTTCTGGATTGTCCATGAAAAATGTACGCACTGCATTTGCTCTGCAAGTTTCTTTTCCTCAGAGGAGACGTTGCATCTAGCTCATTGCTGTTTCTGGAGCCATCATGGGGCTGCCAATCCCACCAGCATTCCTTCGCCCTGATAGGCAAGCTCTACCCTTACATTGGAAAAAAAGCAATTAAATGCGTGATTTATTTATTTTTCTCCCAGTGACAGATTTAGAGAGTGGTACTCAAGAAATACAACAGATTGTGGTGTGCATTCTCCTGGTGCATTCTCCGTCCCAATTCCCCTCCTAGTTTTCTTTCTCTCTGTAGTTACAAACCTTCCCCCCATGATGCCCGGACACCATCCATGTCTCCTGTTTGTAGTTCTCAGTGTCACTCACCTTTGCACTCCTCCTCTCTATTGCTGCATGTTGGCCAACTTTCTTTCATAGATTTTGTCAGGACAAGCTTTGACAGATCAGACTTCAATCTGTGCGATACCTTAACTACAGTACTGACTGCATTCATTCAGGTGAACAATACGTATAAGTAGCACAAATTTACCATCACATACAAAAGCGTATTGTCATAAAGCTATATTGTGGTTGACAAAGACATATTCCAAGCATTCATCCCATTAAATATGACAGATTTTCTGCTCCAAATACTCCATGAAGCTAGAAGCTTTCTGTCAACTGAGTGTGATAGAAAAGGGTCATGTGACGTTAGCTCACAACATGATTTGCCTTAATAAATACAATAACTTTCCTAAAATGTGTCAC